CTTCTAATAAATATTTGAAAATTTATCAAGACTGTAGAAAAAACATTTTTGGAAACGTGAAGGTTTCATGGATATTACTAGATTGATTCAACTGGACTGATTCATTTGGTGGATTACGAAGGATCACTCTTAGTGGTTTGTAGTGGGTGTCGTGGGATGGAGAATTATTGTGCTATGTGGGGATTGAAGCGTGATACATGGAGGTTTCAAGTTTGCAACATCGTAGAATGGGGAGAACTAATCGATGGTTTGAACAAAGGTTTGAAATGAGTCTTTGATTTGATCAATTAATGATGTAATCTAGTATATTGACGAGGATTAAGAACAAAATGCAGATTATGCTAAAATGTGAAGTTGCACGGGACATTGTGGTGGGTTAGAGATGTGTAAGTGCATTGCAGGCTTGGCCAATTGTTGAAGGGTTGAGTGGGATTTGCATGATGTGGATGGTCGACCGAAAAGAGTAGCGAGTGTCATATAAGCATAAAGTTGGCAAGCAAGTGATGCGAGGAGGGAACAAATTTAGGGGATTATGGAAGACATACATTGTAGTTGTGTTGGAAAGTGTCGAGGAGGAAACAAATTTATGGGATTATGGAAGACATACATTGTAGTTGTGTTAGAAAGGTAGACACTGGCTACTCATATTGCAGTGAAGTTGCATGCATACATATGAGTTGTTGGAGAAAAGCACAATGCAACCGATTTATTCATTGTAATTGGAAACTTCCACTATGTGGGTGTCAGAGAGGGGGGAAAATCTTGCAAATAGATAAACCTTTGGAGGTGTAATGGGCATTGACATGGTCTATGGAGGCATTGGAGAATGTGGGCTTGGGATTGATGGAGGAGATGATGATTGCGACAAAGTCTTAGAGGTGGATGGGGTTGAAGGGCCTTCTGAGCATTGAGATAGGTTGCACGAGAAGATGATGAGAATATCGGCATATGAGAGGATGCTTTGGGCCTTGGAGTTTGAGGGAGGTTTTGTTGCCAAAGCTGGAATTGATAGAGGGGAAGATCAATTGAAGGAGAAGATACACAACGAAGATATTGAAGATTGACAGTAGCTTTGAAGTCAACATCCAAGAGCTCTTCGGATGGCTTTTCTCCTTGAAGAACTTGAATGGATGAAGGAAGAATGGCCTTGACCTGATGTAATCAACATAGTTGAAGTAATGGGTGAGATAATTGTGGCCTAATGCTTTGATAAATGGTGATTGGGTTTGGATTGCTTTGGTGAATTGTTTGTCTTTGTTGTAAATTGATAGAGTAGGGTTATAGAATTTGTCGGAAAGGAGAAAATCCTGCTTCAAGGGAGAGCCAAGGTGGAAGTGAAGAAATGTTAGAAAATTAGATGAAAAATGCCTCAAGAGGCATGGGGATAGAGAGGAAGAAGGCAAGTATAATCCTATAGGTATGTTAGCTCAACTAATACAAATTCTTCATACTCATTAATTATTATTGCAATGATTTCCTCGTATGCTTTAATTTTGCAAGTGGGGTGAGGACCGAATACGTGAGATCCCTATGGGCAACATGATGATGTATAGGGATGACCTAGATGTTTTGCAACTTAGCCAAGTTTATTAAAGATTACATATTTTAACTTCAAAATTATTTTTAAAAATTAAATTAATGAACACTTTCTTATGTTTTTGATGACCATGACTTCATACACGGATGTAATATTGGCCACCCTACCAAAGTAGTGTCGTGTGTTTAGGAAGGTATGGACGGCACGTGTAGCAATCATTAACTGGAAAAGTGTGGAGTGGAACCTCCTTGATCGAGTGATGAGGCAATTTGGAGGTGTTCGATTCACCGCCTGGAACCTATACGAAGAAGATACAGATGGATAGATGGCTGAGGACAGGTCGACATGGACTGGACATTTCAATATCGGGCATACATCGAGCTGTTGAACAACATACTTGCATTTCTTCTTCCAGTGATTCCACCAAAAGCAAGAGGTAATCAGGAGTTGGGGACTTACCTATGATGGTTTAGGTAATGAGAATCAATTTATTTATTACCGCCTCAAACATTGCTACCAAAAACTATTTTTTCAAGATTTCCTAGAGAGTGATTGGCAGTACATATACTCACATAGTTGCAATACAAAATATGTCTTAACTTTTTCCTTAAAATTTCTTTGAAAAATAATACCTTTTACCCTGAATATGTTCATCAGGAAGACTACTACGTATGCAGTTTCAACATTCTAGAACAACTCAATGGCAGGCATAGAGAAAATGTTAGCTCCATGTAGTTGGCCACTGGTCAGGTCATTGAGCTAGTGAACAGAGTACAAAGATTGGTGCAAGTAGAATATAGTTCATTCTACGGTAGCACATATGAGCAGGCTCAATACAAGAAAGATGTTAGAGGTACACAAGCAGCTCAAGGCTCTGGACGTTCTACCTTAGATGATCCATCTAGATCCATATGGGGCATAAGCTAAGAGAAATCAGGAAAGTTCATCACAACCCATAGTCCAGACTAATAACATGAAGGCAAAAATAATCCTAAAGGGGAATCTAAAAAAATTTTCTTATTCCATGTTCAAATATGAATGAATTACAAGATTAGGTTTATTCGTAGAATTATTCCATATTAAAAGAACAAAACTACCTTCAAGAAAATAGATAAAAATATAGTCCTATTACGCATGACATTTAAACCACCAAGAATTAGTTAATTACAAATAAAGACTATTAGATAATAATACTATCAACATATACTCGCAACGGATTGAGGTGGACCTGTGGTGCTTCAAACTCCCTTCTCTTACTCAATATGCTCAAGATCTTTATTGCGCCTGCTACCACTAAGTTGTAACTCAAGCATGCCCATGGAAGTGGGATACCATGCCTTGGGCCACTTGCCTCATTTCTCCAGCTTTTTATGGCGACTTTCGCTTGTTGAGAGTTTGATGCTGTTCTTGCTAATGATGTCAAGGTGTACTTGGGAGAAGGGCTGTCAGGGTTCAGTTTGTGGCTTACTTTTGGCAAGGTGGGTGGTATTGGAGGTGGCAACTCAGAAAAAAATAGTACAGTTGTAGGAGGTGAATGAGGAGATGGCTGCATGTAGGAAATATCAGGTCAACATACTTTTTGAGAGGCAATAACAACATACTTTTTGAGATGCTATTGCCTCTTTAACACATTTGGGGCTCAGTTGATGCAAGGCAACCTTAAATACCTTGGAAGATAATTCCATAACTTAGGATAATTTGTTTGATTGAATTGATAGCACGCTAGTATTTAAAAACTATTGAGTTTAAGGTGGTTGCTTATGTTATTTTTCAGGAACTTGATTTTTCTAGTGGTTTGTTTTACATGTAAGATGATTTTTTCACTTTCAATCGTGGTTATCATTATTATAACATGGTCGATGATGAAAAAAATTGTAGGATAAACAGCATTTTCTTCTCATGGAGTTACAAGATACCAAATTAATGTCAATGCATGAATATATATTATCTATATGCTAAACTAGAAATTGGTGTTTGATGTGGGGGACAAAGCACTTTTCTTCAACATTCAAATTTAAATTTAACAAATATTTTGGAAAGAAATACTTCAAATAAATTTTTCTGAAATTAATCTGCTAGGTCTTATTGCTTCGAACTTTGGACTTCCATTGTTTCAATGCCAGTCTTCCAGAAAAGTAGTGGTAGCCAACTGTGTATTCTTGGAAAATTGTGATAGAATTCTTATGAGAAATTCTTTAGAAAAACCCAAAAACTCTTCCATTGACATTTGGCATTTTTTTGGTGTAAATATCTATCAATGTGAGAAATTCAGATATGGGTGAGAACTTCACCGAAAAAATCCTTGCCATTTATATGATTTCCATAATAGGAATTTTATCCAGAAATTTGGAACATTTTGTATTTTCATGATTGTATTGGCTCTTGTAATTTGGATGCTTAGCTTTAGGATTTAAATGTTGCTATAATTTAGAGAGCAGCATACTGAAAATGCATGCATGCATGATATGCGCAGAGTATTTGGAAACAAGTTTTAAAATGACATTTCAACTTACTGCTTTGCAACAGTTAGCTAGTGATTCAAGTAATATTCCAGATAATATGATTTTTTTTTAAATGACATTTCAACTTACTGCTTTGCAACAGTTAGCTAGTGATTCAAGTAATATTCCAGATAGTATGAGTTTTTTTTTTTTTAAGTTCATGATGGACAATCATGCTGATCAATTTGTATTTTTTTTCTGCACAGGAAGTTTTGTCTGTGAAGTTTAACGTGCTTGTTACAACTTATGAGTTTATCATGTATGATCGTGCAAAGCTGTCTAAAATTAATTGGAATTACATCATCATTGATGAAGCCCAACGCATGAAGGATAGAGAATCTGTTCTTGCCCGTGACCTTGATAGGTATCGTTGCCAGAGACGTTTGCTTCTTACTGGAACTCCTCTTCAGGTGTGTCTTAGCACTGCTTCGATGCATGTTGGTTCCAAATTGCCCATGCCTGTTACAATTTAAATTAATGATCTTAGCTTGCTTGTCCTTTCTTGCTTCTTTATGATTTGGTGTTATCGCACGTTCAAACATTGTTTTGTGTTTGGTGGCCAGGAACAAGGGGGTGTTGGGGATGGTTGTTGGTTTGTTTGACAGGCCAGATTTTATATTTTAGTGTAATGCCAATACATTCTTATGAATTAGTTCTTGCTATCAAGGTTGATTATGATACAAAAATTGGATGGTGTTCAATGATTTAGATACGGTGCTTGCTATTTGATGTTTTGTTTGATTGTGTTGTGGATATAAGTAAATGATTATTTTCTTTCTGCAGAATGATTTGAAGGAATTGTGGTCCCTCCTTAATTTACTTCTCCCAGAAGTGTTCGATAACCGCAAAGCATTTCATGACTGGTTTTCTAAGCCCTTTCAGAGGGATGGTCCTTCACAAAACACTGAGGAAGATGATTGGCTTGAAACAGAGAAAAAGGTGATTATCATCCACCGACTGCATCAAATTCTGGAACCCTTTATGCTGAGACGGCGTGTTGAAGATGTAGAAGGCTCTCTTCCAAGCAAGGTATGCAATTTTCTTTTACTTTGCAAGTCATCTAATTTATCATAAACAGAAACAATGCACGTGAATGCCTTAACATTCATCATATGCTTTTCAAAATATTTAAAAATGGTCCAAAGTCAAATAGTAAATATTTTATTAAATTATAAATTATTCAAATATGTTTCATTTTTTAATATATTGTCTTTTTAAATTATCTTGTAGCATCAGAAATATTTAAATGCAAAATTACTATATATATATATAAACACAATATTTATCTTGTTTGGAAGATTTTTATGTGCTTTTTGTAAAAACATTTGGGAAAAAATAATGCCAAAATATAAATCAATAGGTCAATCTCAGATGAAAATATGCAAATGAAATAAAAAATGGATAAATTTTAAATTATTTAGGAGTTAAAATAAAATATTAATTAAATGATACTTAGATTTATTTGTATTATTTAAAATTAAAAATATTTATATGTTGAGTTTATAATTTCAAATGAAGAGGTTTGATTTTTTTGTAGTAAATCAAAGAAATATGAATGAAGTATACGCAGGAGTTTAAGATAACAAGATATAAACCAATAACCTCTTAGATCGGTTTGGATTACCTTGATAAGTGAATAAAGGTTAACCTCTTTTATGGTTATTATTTTTAATGAAGGGATGCAATATCTTTTCAAAATAAAGGTTTGAGATATTCGAGTGAAATCCCTTTTAATTGTAGTATAGATTAGGCTAAAATAATTTCTTGACATGCTTGCAGGTGTCCATTGTGTTGAGATGCCGAATGTCAGCCATGCAAAGTGCCATATATGATTGGATTAAGTCTACTGGTACTATTAGAGTCAACCCTGAGGAAGAGTTGCTCAGAGTTCAGAGGAACCCAATGTACCAGATCAAGATGTATAAAAGTCTTAAAAATAAATGCATGGAACTGCGCAAAGTTTGTAATCATCCTCTTCTTAACTATCCGTATTACAATGACTATTCCAAGGACTTCCTTGTGAGGTCTTGTGGAAAACTTTGGATTCTGGATAGGATTCTCTTAAAACTTCACAGGTCAGGTCATCGTGTCCTTCTTTTTAGCACTATGACAAAGCTACTTGATATAATAGAGGAATACTTGCAGTGGCGCAATCTCATTTATAGGAGGATTGATGGTACAACAAGCCTAGAAGATCGGGAGGCTGCAATTGTGGACTTCAACAGTCCTAACTCTGACTGTTTCATTTTTTTGCTCAGTATACGTGCTGCTGGGAGGGGTCTAAATCTCCAAAGTGCAGATACAGTTGTGATATATGATCCAGATCCAAACCCACAAAATGAGGAGCAGGCAGTTGCTAGGGCTCATCGTATCGGGCAGAAGAGAGAGGTAAAAGTTATATATATGGAAGCAGTTGTTGACAAAATAACGAGCTTTCAGCGAGAAGATGAGATAAGGATTGGAGGTGGGGGAGATTTAGATGATGAACTAGCTGGTGAAGATAGATATATTGGATCAATTGAGAGTCTTATTCGTAACAACATTCAACAATATAAGATTGATATGGCAGATGAGGTCATAAATGCTGGTCGTTTTGATCAGAGAACAACACATGAAGAACGTAGAATGACTTTAGAGACATTGTTACATGATGAAGAAAGATACCAAGAAACTGTGCATGATGTTCCCTCCCTTCAAGAGGTAAATCGTATGATTGCACGCTCTGAAGAAGAAGTTGAGCTTTTTGATCAAATGGATGAGGAATTTGATTGGACAGGGGATATGGTAAAATATAGTCAAGTTCCGAAGTGGCTTTGTGCAGGCACTAAGGAGTTAAATGCCGTCAATGCTAGTTTATCTAAGAAGCCGTCCAAAAACATGCTGGAAAGCAATATTCATATGGATCACACTGAGATATTCTTTGGCTCATCCCTGAATAAAACTGAGAGAAGGGGCCGTCTTAGAAGTTCATCAAATGCCAAAAGTCTTTCCATTTATGCGGAATTTGATGATGAAGATGGTGATGACTTTGATGCTAGCTCAGAGGATTTGTTAGATGACGGAGAGGCAGATGGAGAGGGAGAAATTGGGGAACTTGAAGAAGAAGAGTTTAATGGTGCAATTGATGCACCTCCAAGTAACAAGGAACAATCAGATGAAGAAGGATTAATTTGTGAGGATGGTATTTACAACTCCTCTCAGATAATGGAGGGTAACAGAAGCGTTAATATGACTGAAGAAGCAGGGTCAACCGGCTCTTCTTCTGGAAGTAAAAAGCTGATGCAGCCTGTTACCCCTTTTTCATCTCAAAAGTTTGGATCACTTTCTGCTTTAGAATCTAGGAAATGCCCTCCTTCAAAAAGCACGGTATGTAGAGATTGCTTCTTGCCTAATCATGCGGTTTACATTTTAATTTGTCGTCTTATAATCAGTTCCAAAACATGTAATTGCCTTTCTAACATTCTAGCCAGATGAGCTGGAAGAAGGAGAAATTGCAGTATCAGGGGATTCTCAGATGGATCTGCAACAATCGGGAAGTTGGGCTCATGACCGTGAAGAGGGTGAAGAAGAACAGGTTCTCCAACCAAAATTTAAACGCAGACGCAGTATTCGGATTCGCCCAAGAAATCATGTTGAAAGACTTGTAGAGAAATCCAACAATCATAGGAGTTTTTCAGAGCATGGATCACAAATGCTCTTGCAGATGAATCATGATTATGATTTACAATTGAGGACTGATCAAGACCTTGATGTGTTCACTGAAGATAGGATGGATATGAGCTCTGCTTCACATAAGAAGAGACGGAATTTGCCATCAAGAAAAGCTATATCAGTTACGAAAGAAAATTCTGGTAAATCAGCTTATGGTCCTGGTCCTTCTGTACCCGCTGAGGATGCCACCGAACATTCCCGGGGTAGTAGTTGGAATGGGAGGGCTGTTAGCATTGCCAGTCAAAACTTCATTGTTTCGAAAATGCCAGATAGTACTCAGAGGAAGGTAACTCTCTTTCCTTTTGCTCTATTTGGTACTTCTGAGTATTTTATTGAACTAGTATTTTTGAATACATAGGTACATCAAAATGATGAGTTCGTTATTTTGTTGCTTCCATCTAACTGCATCAAGACTTTGTGAACACTTTGACCCAAATTCCAGTCTAGACGCAACAAATAATCAGTTGAAGTAACTTAACCATTTTTTTTTTATTTTTAAATAGTGGATATCTTTGTTTGTGATAAGTTGCCTCATGCAAAGAAGCAAAGAAGCTGAATAAGGGCAGTCACAAAATTAATGATGCCTAATTATAATATTCTTGCTATTCTTGTTCCACCCTACGAAGCATTTTTTTTCTTTTGAAATTACAGGACTTGAATGTCAAAACAACAAGGATATATTTTTTTCATTTCTGAATATTAATAACTAAAATTTAAACAATGCAAAATTGAGGTAAAGAGGGAGTGAGGGATGCACAAAATTAGGGATGAAAAATTATAACAGTCCTCCATTAGCTCTACACTATGAAGCTTTTATTTTTTTAATTAGCAGGACTTGAATGCATAAAACAATGAGACTAGTTTTTTAGTATGGATATCAACAATTAGCATTTAGATAATGTGTTGAAACTCGTCAATAAAACAAGTTGAGAGAGATGTAGGGAGGGTGATGCTTAAAACAACGTGATTGTTTTTTTATCATATTTTGGATATCAAAAAATGAAATTTAAACTTGTCAATAAAACATGTTTAAAGTTTGAACTTTTTAGAAATAATAGACTGAGGAACCGAATAATTAAAAACTTGCGCAGGATTCTATGATTATAATAATCATGAAATTACAATGTCAACGCTGAGGTCTGTCTAGTAAGTGCTAGTGAAGTATGCAGTAGGTGTCTAACTAGTGTTTATGGCATGTCGATATGTATTAAGTGTCAAAGCAGTGTCTATGACGATTGAAAAGGTTTGATAGAAGATAGTGTGATATTAATGTACATCCAAAGGTAATACATGGCATGCATCAGAAGTGTTGAAAAAGTTCTGGTATCCTTAGAGTTGTCGATATATAATAGGATATTCTCTTTAAAATGTCCATTTTGCATTATTTTATTCTAGATGATCAACTAGAAACACTAGCATTAATTGAAACAAGCACCACTAGGAAACCGTTTCATGGAATGGAATAGATAAAACTGAAATCGCTTAACCCAAGAATAATTCTTCCATTAAAATTGTGCAAGGTCAGATAACATTGCAAAGGGGAGCTCTGATGTTGTTGAAATATTCACATGTTTTTTTTTATTTTTTTATTTTGCATTTAAGATTTTTCTTTTTTGGGCAAGGTTGCGGTATTGTTATGAAGTTAGACTAAGTTTTAAGCATCATTTAATCACCATTATGATTTAGACTCTGGTGATCGCCTGATTTTCCTATGGATGAAACTGGGAAGCAATAGAAGCCATATTCAAAATTAGTTTCAACAAAAGCAAAAGTAAATGGCATTGTCATCATTCTTCAGTTATTTTTAAAAATTAGAACTATGTTGAATGCTAATGAGTTAGTTTACCTTCTAGTGCAGCAAGAAACATTATTGTTACCTTAAACCAAATTTACTAGCACGTTAGGATTTTGATATGATCGTATCTTTTAAAATCTTTTATTAACATATCTGTTTTCTTTGCACATATCTTTCTTACCTAATCCTCATTGCTCCCAACACTCATCTCTCTTGAGGTGCACCTTATCGATGTCTTCACTATTAATAAAAGTTTTATGTTACCCATGTTCTACATAATTGTTGTTGATTTAATTATATGTAGCTAGTTTAACTAAAATATTATCACATTCACCAATGATATAGGTAATTTATATGTTTCATTAAAGACTTCTATATTTAATTCTCCTGTTCATTCGATGCTATGCCATTGTTATTTAGAGAATAACAATGCTTATGGCGCTCAATTCTTCTGGATGAGATTCAAGTATAATGAATTAGTTTATATTATTATGAGATATTGTTTCTTTTCGCATTGCATCTCTATGGTAGCACAATTGAGGGAAGGATTTGTTGTAGATGGACAATGTTGGCATGGCTGTTTGTGGCTCTGGCATACCAAGTATTAGAACCATGCCTGTCCTTTTCTTGCATACTAGGTGTTGGCTATCACAACATGGAAACCATGGACTTTAGTTGTGCATCATGTGGCTATATTTTTTGCTCGATTTCTACCACGCATGTGATATTGGTTTAATATTCATCTTTTTTTTTATTGAGAAGAAATCTAAAATAGTACTCTTGATTATTTTTATGGTGTCATTGTAGTATCAAAGTATCACATTTCTACTATTTAGTTTGACTTTATAAAATTGGTCCAAAATTGTAGCGGGATGCAAGATTGATCCCAATTAAGTCCCCAAGGGGCTGTGATCATTTTTTTATAGTTGAGAGACTAAATTAAAGAAATTTGATATTCTGGGATTAAATTGACCGCATACGAATAATTGAGTGACTATTTTGGGCTTTTTCCTTCTTAATCACTCCAAAACATACAAATCTGCGTGATACTGAAGTGCATCTGGTGAATGTCCATGCACTTAGTGAAAAATGTCTACAACCTTTTCCTTGGTTGATGCGATAATCGACATAACTTGCAAGTTGGTGTAATAGCTGGAACTGCTGAAGCAAAGTGTTTTAGGTTTGCACATTTGAGTCACCAACCTTCTGCAGTATGAATTACTTGAACCTATTGTTTGCATTTATTAAGTATCATCTATGATTATTCTTGAGCTTTCAAGTAACAACGGAAGTACTCTAAATAGAATGTGCACCCTAGTTGCTGCCAGCATAGTGATATTTTTGTCCTGCTACCTTGAATTTTTTTGCTTCAATGGAATGCCATCTTTGTGGATGAATCCTTGCGTATTTTGTTTTGATAGTAAGAACTGCTGCTCATGTAAACCAGTATTATATATCGCCCTCATTTCATGAAAGATGAACAATTGATCTGGTAAATTGGAGTTATCTCTTTTGGAATTTTGTTATACTTACAAAAAGCATTATATTTCCTTATTTGATTTTGTTAGTCAATGGGAAATTTAGTTAATTCCATCTTTTCTTGTCTGAGCCTCAGACATCAAGACTGGCAGTGGTAAATATTAATGTGCTGCATTCCGTCTATAACTTGATGGATAAAATTTTCATATCTTTTGTGATCAATGTTGTGTTGCTGAATGACAGTTTTCCAATGCAGTGCAAAAATGTGATCAGCAAGCTTCATAGGAAAGTAGACAAAGATGGCAGTCAAGTTTTCCCCGTCCTATGTGATTTTTTGAGGAGGAAGGAAAATTATGGTTTTAAGAATCTTGTGGGAAAGAGTAGTGTTCTCCTAGACCTACAAAGAATTGAACAACGAGTGGACAATTTGGAGTATAATGGTGTGGCGGACTTCATAGCAGATGTACAGTTGATGTTGAAAAATGTTGTTCAGTATTGCAATTACTCTCACGAGGTATGCTTTTCTCATTCACATGTTTTTCTTCATGCGCTTTGAGATGTGATCTAAAACATTTTCACCAACTTGCAAAATATTGTTTTGTTGTTTTGCCTCATTATTTTTCATAAAATTGCACGTGGTCCTTAATTTAAATCATTCACTTGTGTTCTGGATTTTAGAAGTCCAAGCAATCTGGTTATTTTCATCTACTTTTCTGCTAGCTTTTTTAAACCTTGGAAGAACCAAAATCTTGTGAAAAATGAGGTAATTTTTACCTATTTTTTTTCTTGTTTAGAAGTGGACCAACTGAGAGTGAATGGGAGACTGGCAATGGTAGCCACCATTTTTATTTTAGACTTGAATTGGGTTGGAGTAGTTCCATGGGGTACCTTGCGAACAGGCAGCCTCCATGAATTGGGACCATTGCCAAATGTTGGAACCAGTTGAAGAGGGTTTCAAGTTGGAAACTGTGTCCATATAAAAACACATATAATCATCTGACCGAAGTGTATTTTTTCTAAAATGCATCAAGGAGATTGTATCAAGAGAGTACCATGGAAGGTCATGCCACTAAGGGATCTGTTTGGTTGCCTGAAAAAGGAAGACTACTTTGGAGTTGTTTGGATGAGTATAAAAGAAATATATGATATTATTATTTTTATTTGATTTGAGGTTAAATGAATGCAATATAAAGTATAAAAAGGGTATTGGTCAGTGACCGACATTGGTGGTGGTGTGGCTGATGTTGGGCGGAGGCAGCCGGCGGTGTTGTTAGGCGGCGATAGGGCGGTCAGGCGGTCAGCTTGCAGCAATTGCAATGAATTTTCGGTGTATTTGGAACTCGCTCAAATCCGAGGAATTTAAAATACACCAAAAATGAACTAGAGTTTGTATTCTAAATTCATCAAAATTTTACATTGTATTTGTTTTACGTCAAACTAAACGCCAATATTCTCAAAATCGCTGTATTTGAAATACTTTATACTCTTTTTGTAGGCGGCCAACAATCCTTAAATGAAAACTGTCAAAATAAATTGTTATGAACAATTAAATAAACTACTTTAGTTTCTTTGAATTTAATTCAATTGGAATAAGCACTTACAGTGCTCAACTAGGTGGTGATATTAAGTTGAGTTCAAGTGAGTTGAGCTCCACCCCAACTGGAAATCAATTACAGGGACCTAGCTCCAGCTTGACTTAGGTTTTGAGTTGAGTTTATTTGAATTGTAATCTAATCAGTTTTGGGTCGGTTTAAAAATCAAAATCTTCTGGAATTGATTACCTCCAGGCTTTAAATTTGAAATTTCTTAAAAAAAAAGGATTATATTAAACCAAACTCAGTGATAACCAAAGACCAAAGCATAACTGCTTTTAAAAAACGAATGATGAATAAATTTAAAACGAAAGCGAGAACCCTCAGGAATAACAAATCCGCACCGTAAGGATGTTCTGATTTGCTGGGAAGGAACGAGGACAAATAAACAAGAAAACAACCCCAAAACACGACTACCTTCAAAGTAGAGTTTCAAACAAAGTAACTTATAAAGGTTGAACAAACTAAAAATCCTAAGATTCTTGGAAAAGAGCTTTGAAAAAAAGTTTAGTGGTTTGTGTATGTAAAATGTAGGCAAAAGAAGATTTCCATATTTACAAAAATTTAGATCATCATGTAGGAAGCAACCTTGCGATGATGTGGCTAAAAAGATCTATCTTATTCATGATCATATATATCTTGCTATTTAATCGGGCTATTGAGACACTTTTCTAAGCTGCATCTATGAGTCATAACACATTGTTATTCCATAGTTAATCTCCAAATAAGCCAATTGCAATACACAAAATACTATAAATCCCTTCTATGAAAAGATAATCCGTAATTATGAAAGAAATGTGGAGTTTAATGAAGCGGAATAGCTTGCGTTTTAGTTTTTTTACTGTTTTATGAACACTTATGCTGACCATTGAATAAAGTCTTGCAATGGGACATCTTTGATGCCCCCAAAATATCAATGTTCTTCCTCGCACTAGACATATTTTAATCACGATAATGATTGTTGGAATGTTCTAACAGGTGAAGTGCGAAGCTGCAATGATTCACGACCTATTCTTTGACATCATGAAGATTGCATTTCCAGAGACAGACTTTAGAGAAGCTCGAAATGCACATACATTCTTCAGCCCTGCAGCAACAGGAGCTGCGCCATCTCCAAGGCAGCCCTCCTTGAGCCAAAGCAGACGACTTCCCCAGATGGAGACCCGGCCAAGCTCCAGCCCTACCAAGGCTCGGGGTCATACCTCTGCTGCTCTCCAGGAGGATCGGCAGGACTTCGGTCCAGCGCACCCCGCAGATCTTGTCATCTGCAAGAAGCGGAGGAATGACAGGGATAAGCAGCGAGTGGGTCCCTCTTCCCCAGTCACCCCTAGGTGGATGGGACCGCCCCTGCCCCCGGCGAATCAAAATCGTCCATCTCCTGCTAGGTCTCCAATAACAAATAGAAGTACCAGGACTCCTTTCCAGAGGGATGCTCATATGGTTCATCCTGATGGAAGCCCGGCCAGTGGTCTATCTCCAGGTTTGAAAGAGGTTCAGTGGGCCAAGCCTGTTAAGAAAATGAGGACAGATTCAGGAAAGAGGAGGCCAAGCCATTTATGATTGTAGGTGATCAATTAAAGCTTAGTGGTTCGAATGGTGGCCTAACTGGTTCAGAGAGGTCATGCATCCTGCCCCGACTTTCCCTGTAATCCTTCATCACATTTCTTATTTATTTTCACATACTAGGAGTCGGTTGGGAATGAAAGAAGGGCTTAGAAATGTCTAGATTGTTCGATTGTTTCTGTAATTTGGAAGTTGATATTCCTAATGAAACTTCCTAGTGCTCAAACATTCACACAGGGTGGCAGGCAATGTAGTTGTATCAAAAAAAGAGGCAAAAAGAAAAGAAAAAAAAAGGTAAACTAGTATGCCTCATGCAGAGTGTTTGAATTGAGGATATCTCATCATTCTTTTAGATGTTACTAACATCTTTAAGTTAAAGCTACTGTTGCAAAATGTTAGAAGTGTAATATATAATACGATATTTTTAGTAGAATTGAGGCATTTTATTAGTTCATCATGAAGCGAATGACTGGCTTGAAGTAGGCGAATGAAGAACCCTTTATTTTATTATACTCCAAAGATGTTTTGTGTTTTGATTTTGAAGGTTTTTTGACAGTTAATTAATCCAAGGTGCCTATTTTTGTGGCTGCCAATGCTCACCGGGTGCCTTTGTCTTCCATTTTAAAATTTGATTTTAAAGAATTTATTTAAGAAATTTAAATTTTAAATTTATATATTTTTATCACATTTTAAAATTGTCAGTTTCAGGTTTTGTAAGTAGACACTGAGGCCTTCTAAGGCTTTGATTGGAATAGCTCTCTCACTGCTTTTCCAAATAATTTTTTAGTATAATTTTTTTAAACTATAAATTTATGTAGTAGAAAAATGTTTAAGTAATGAGAACTTTTTTTCAAATAAAATGGAGGGTGAACAGTGCAACGCCAATGTTGGCGTCAAAATGTTCACCCACGCGATTTTTCTGTCTCAACTGGATTTGCCGAAGAAACGGGTGAAAGAGGAGAAGATGGTTAACTTCACAGAAGCGTATAAAATGGAGTTCGATTGGAGATGAATAACAACATTTTTCGAGTTTCACTATATCTTGGAGTGAAAAATAGGATTTTCAGTTGGAGATGCCCTCAGTCATTCATTGACGCTGGTTACAATTAATTGTTTTTTCAATATTTTCTATTTTGACACTTGGCCAAGTCAATTCTCTGGCAGCTAATTCTAAGAAAGTAAGAAACCAAATGTGCAATATCACCAGTAATCATTGCAAGAACATATCCCATCTTGAAAGCAATGAAAACGATTAACATCTCTGACCACCATCTTCCTCTTTGTAACCTTAGAGAACAATTTTATAGCAATGTGACAATCATCACACATTCTAAGGTTTTTAATGACATGGATTGGCGCTCCCCAAGGCGTGCTAATAAGCCCAAAAACAATAGCCAACTTTTCACTATGAAATTTCAAGTATCCTTCCTTGTGTTCTTCCTCCACATCATGCAGAACACTATCAGTGATAGGAACATAACCAATTCCCTTTATCTCATCTAATAGCTCAACTAACCTTTTATGAATCTTTTCTATCAATGGATGTCGATTGTCCTCTGAAGCAAACACATTCAACTCATTCCTCACCTGTATCCAGCTTACCCCTGGTTCCTTTTTAATGCATTTTTCTCTCATTAACCTTCTAACTTTCACTACTGCATCCCACCTATTTGCTTTCGCATACATGTTGGAGATCAAGATGTAAGTCCCCACATCATTGGGATATAACTGAAGGATGTAGTCAGAGACTTTCTTGCCAAGGCCAAATTTTCTATGTGTTTGGCAAGCACTAAGGAGTGTTCTCCATGAAATTAAGTCCCATTCAGAATGTGTAGTTCTCATGTATCTATCAGCCTCATCCAAAAGCCCTGCTCTGCACAAGAGCCCAACTATGCACGTATGGTGTTCCACCCCAGGAGAAATTCCTAAATTTCTCATGAAATGATTGACATAATAGAGTCCTTCATCTACCAACCCCAGATGGCCACAAGCTAGCAACACACCAATGAAAGTTACATAGGTTGGAGAAACTTCGTTTACAAGCATGTCATGGAAAGTCTCCAATGCTTTTCTCCCAAGACCATTATGTGAGTAGCCATTGATCATACAGTTCCAGGTTATGGTGTCCTTACAAGTCAGATCAACAAATATTACCTCAGCATCTTCAATGCTTCCACTTTTAGAATACATATTAATCAAAGCATTGCAGACTATCAAGTGTGACATATATCCTGTTTTTTCAATATGAGCTTTCAGTGAGTTACCGTTGGTCAGTGCTGCGAGTCCTGCGCAAGTATTGAGTGCTACTGTATAAGTTAAATCATTGGGTTGAACACAATCCACTTGCATTTTGATAAATAACTTCAAGCTTTCCTCCAAGCTTGCATTTTGAGTGCAAGCGGCCATTATTGTCGTCCATGAGATCACATTTCTGCATGATAGTTCGTTAAAAGCTGACCGAGCAGAAGAAGAATCGCCGCTCTTTCCATACATGTCAACAATGGCGCTTCCAACGAATAAATTTGACTCAAACCTTCTGTTTAAGATTTGGCAATGAACTTGTCGGCCCAAAAGTGAGTCTTTAGAATCAGCACAAAGGCCTAGAACTGCAACGTAAGTGATATGATCCCACTGCCATATTTCACTCACCATATTATTTAAAACTTCCATTGCATCCCATATCCGCCCATGCTCCAAGAAACTATTAATCATGGAATTGAAAGAAATGACGTCAACTCCTGGCATAGAGTAGAAAACTTTTAGAGCATCTTCCACACCAGAACATGTTGAGTACATGTGGAGTAGCACATTTCTGATATATGAATGAAACGATAATCCGGATTTGAGGACATAAGCATGGCACTGTTGTCCCATTTTGAAAGCTTGCATATCAGAACAGGATGCGAGAACTGTCGCAAAGATGAACTCATTAGGACGAGGCCACAGCTCATCAGAACTCATGATTTTGAGTACAGAAAGAACCTCTGATGGACATCCATCGTGGAAATAGCCCGCCATTAGCGAGCTGTAGGAAACTACATTTCTGTTAGGCATAAGGTCAAACACTTGGCGCGCAGAAGTAAGATGCCCACACTTAGCATAAATATCGATGAGATAGTTGGATTCAATGATATCACACAAGTTGGAGATAATTAGTTTCGCGTGGACGGACTTTCCTAATCTCAAGTTATTTGTCTTTGAGATTATTTTGAGGAGGCTGAGGCTGGTTTGGCTGGAAACGAGACCTCGCATGCTCTCCAAGAGTATAAATAGTGCAATCAAATCAGCATTTCCGGAATCAAAGGAACCTTTCTTATCAGCCTTTCCGCGGTTAGTTCCACAACTCGACCTCTATCAATCCAACATAGCTGCAGAGCTTTAATGCCCAAAGCTCATGGTTTTTTAATAAGAATAATACGAGCAGCTTTCTTTATTAATCATAAGGGTTTATTATTAAAAATAAATAAATTTTGAAAAATTTATTCATATACTTAAAATCTCATGTCTTATCATAAAAAAAAAAAAGTTGTAAGCATATCTAAATCCGTTGAATCATAGAGTTGAGATTTTTCAGCTTTATGTAAACCAGCACAGGTTAATAGCAGACAAAGATCACATAGAGTTTAAGAGAAGCTCTATATATTATTCCTTCATCACATTGTTACAGTATAGTTTATGTATATATGGCTGATGATAACAAATTACAACAGAGTTTGTTATTAGGGAATGGTTTAGATATGAAACATGTGATTAATGCAGGGTTAGGATTGGCTTGATTGCTGATTGGCAGCTGTGTGGAATCCACATTGTACTCTTGTACGTTTATGTTACATGCCCCTTCAAACTGATGATGTCGTAGCTGTGATCAGTTTGTTGGATGGATCCTTAAACTTGGTGATAGATAAGGATTTAGTGAAGATGTCGGCGAGCTGATACTGGTTGGCTAAGTGATCCATGGTGATTTGTTTGGTTTGAATGCAGTCATGAATGAAGTGACAATCCACTTCAATGTATTTTGTGCGAGCGTGGAAAATCAGATTGTTGGCTAGAGTAATTGCTGAAGTGTTATCACAGTACATGGAGGTAGGGGTTGTTGAAGGAGCATTGAAATATGTGAGTAGACATCGTAACCAAATGATTTTGGAAGCAACGGTGGCCAATGCTCAATATTCTGCCTCTGTAGATGAGCGTACTACTGTTGGTTACTTTTTATCTTCAAGGAAATCAATGATTTTCCCAAGAAGTTACAGTAGCCTAAGGTGGATTTGCAATCTCGAGGGACTTAGGCCTAGTCAGAATCGGCATAGTTGTGTAATGTGAGAGAATCCTTGCATAGCGGCAAGCCGTGTGAGATCATGCAATGAATGTAACACAACATGTGTTTGAGAGATAATCAAAGTGACACATGAGCGGTTTGTGCATGTGTTGGCACACTTATTGAACTACGAATGTGATGTCTGGTCTGGTGAGCATTAGGTACTGCAAGGAGCCCGCTAATTGCCGGTAAAGTTGAGGATTGAAAATTTTTGATGTAGAATGTTTGACTATTATTTTCTTGGTGGTGCTGGGAGTGGAGGCTGGTTTATCATTTTGCATTCTTGCTCGGGCATGAATCGTCTGGGCATACTGAGATTATTTTATATGTACATTGTGTAATGTTGAGGTGACTTGGATGCCTAGGAATTATGATAAAGACCCAAGATTGTGCATTGAGAACTAGGCTTGTAAATTCTTCAGTGTGTTTTGATCGTTGTCGGTGATTAAAATCTCATCCATGTAAATGAGGACATACATGAATACTGGACCAGAGTGATAGACCAACAGCGATGAATCGAGCGCACTGAATGTGAATCCAAATGTTTGTAAGTGATTTGAAAGGGTGATATACCATTGACGTGGAGATTATTTTAGCATGTATATAACTTTCTTTAGTTGACAGACATGATGAGGATGGATTGAATCGTGGAAGCCTTGTCGTTGCTGCATAAAAATTGTTTCCGTTAGATGGCCATGTAGAAATGCATTAGATACGTCTAGTTGTATAATTGGCCATTGCCAATGTAGGAAAATTAGAATAAAGACATAAACACTTGGCCTTTTAGCCACGAGACTAAATGTTTCATGATAATCAAGTCCTTGTTTATGGTTAAAGCCTTGGGTTACTAGATGGGCTTTGAACCAAGCTACTGACCCGTCGAAATTAAACTTCATTCGATATGTCCATTCGCACCCTAGTATGTTAAGCTCAGATGATGGTGGAACAAATTCCCAAATTCCTTGGGATTGGAGAGCTTAAAACTCTTAAGGCATGGCTTTACACACATTTTCATGCTTGGAGGCTTGAAGATATATGGTGAGGTCAGCCATTTGAATGGTATGTGACAGATTAGAAATATGTTTTGGTTTTTTTATGGCACTCTTGAATCGGGTGAGCATAGGGTGAAAAGAGGACACTATTGTTTTTAAAGGTGGGGTTGGGTGAGATTAGGGGTGTAATTGAGCTAAGCCAGCTCGTGAGCCGGCTCAAGCTCGACTCGTTTATGGGCTCGCGAGCCGAGCTTATCGAGCTCGAGTTCGAGCTTGACCCGACTCGAATAAAAATTAATATTTTTAAAATAATTTTATTTTATTTATTAAATTTAAATATTAAAAAATAATAATAATAATCAACTAAAGTTTATTTAAATGTTAAACATTTCATATTTTTTCAATGTTTTGTCAAAGTTTTAAAAATCTCGCCTAATTTTAATTTTTTTTTTTAAATTCAGCCTAAATTTAAAAATTCCTGCCGATGGCTGGCAAACTGGCTTGAGTTTGTTTACAGTGAGACGAGCTCGACTCGAGCTCGCTTTCCATCTAATGAGCCGAGCTCGATAAGGGCCTAAACTCGACTCGACTCGTTTACACCCCTAGGTGAGATTGTGATTGAGTAAAAGATGTTGCAATGGCAGGGTTGGGAAAAATAGTTGGAGATAGGTCTATTGGTTGTTATAGTTGAGTATGTATGAGAAGATGCAGGTACCTAGGACAGACGTAGAGAGGGTGGTAAGCCTGATGTTGGAACTAACACCAGTGGAGGGGAAGAATGTGATTCAGAGGCACTGAAGGTGCGTTGGATGGTTGGGAGAAGGGGTAAATGAGTTCATTGAAAACTACGTAACGAGAGGTGTAGATTTTGTTGGTAGAATGATCAAGACAATGATAGCCCTTTTGTAACGGCACATAACCAATAAACACATATGGCCTGAAAAGAGGGGAGAGTTTATTGAGGGTGTAGGGACGAAGCCATTAGTAACAGAGACACCCAAAGACATTGAGATGGCCTTATATAGGGATTTTACCATAGAAAAGTTTATATGAGGATACATGGTGAGTGTTGGGGGACAACAATCGATTAATAAGATATACCATGGCATGTAAAGCATCAACCCTTAAGTATTGAGGAAGATGTACCTAAATGAGGAGGGATTGAAGGGTTTCAATTATATGGTGATGTTTACGCTCAGGAACTCCATATTGAGATGGAGTGTAAGGGCAAGTGAATTCGTGTAGAATGTCACATTGTTTAAAGGACGTGAATTGAGCATTAACGAGTTCACCACCAACATCATGTAGCATTTGTATTGGAGAAATAAACTGGCATTCAATTATCCATTTAAACTCAATAAATTTATGAAACACATCAAATTTCTTAAGTAGAAGATATACCCGGCTAAATTTGGTGTAATCGTTTATAAAAGAGATGTAATAGCGAAACCCAGAATTTGAGGGTGTAGGGGACGGACCCCAGACATTCCAAAGGGGAGTTGGTGTCTTTTGGCTAACCGACAGACATTACAAAAAGGGGAAACTACAGAACTGCAAATAATATTGTTAGTTTTAGCTAAGCGATAAAGTTCAAGATGATGGATGACCTAGTCAATGATGCTAGAGATCAAGAATGGCTTTTATGTGGATGAGAGCTAGATGAGATGGAGGTGACTTTGTTACTGGCCAGATATGAAGTGGGTAGAGATTGTTAATACACAGACCCTGAAGAAGAGTCTGCTAAGTCTTCCAGTTCCTGATAACGTAGTCGTTGGAAGAGAACGAAACATCACAATTATTTTTAGTGGTGAAACAATGAAAAAAGAGTAAGTTGAAAGAAGGTTTGGAACGTGATTGGTCTGGATAGTTATAAATTACCTGTTGGAGTAGGGAGGAGACATTTACTAGTGTGATGGATGGGTAGCTGTTGTCCATTACCCAACACTACCTGGTTGGATCCTGTGCATCTTTGGGAGGATTGAAGGAAGATAGAGTTAGACGTGAGATGAGAGGACTCGTCGCTGTCCAAGTACCATTCAAGCAAGGGTGTATGATTTATTGGTGTAAACAAAACAGATGTTGGTGGTTCAGTGGTGTACTAAGGATCGTGCCTGTTCCATCACCGAATAGCTGAATGTCCCTATTTACCACATATCTAACCGGTAATAGGGGACCGCATAGGTTTCCCACCATGAGTGTTGGAAGCTAAAAATGGGGATGATTTTGAAGAGACAGTAGATCATCCTAGAGGCTAGTTGAAGCAGCCTCGACCATGGCCTCGAGTTGCCACAAGAACCACAGCTAGAGGGTGCTTAATTCGCATGTGACTTCGTAAGTAAGGTTGAATTCTTCACTTCATAGAAGAGTGTACATATCAACCAAATTTAATAGCTACAAGTTTGTACGTATGACAGTTTGAAAGCCTGATATGAGGCTAGAAGACCATTCAATGTGTAGTTAACGATACCTTCAGGATCAAGCGGCGACCCTGCTGCGGCAAGGGAATCTACCTTGGATTTGATCTCCAACAAATATTGAGCCATCGTTTGTTCCTTCATGGAGAAATAGAGCTCGTTCTTAAGTTGAATTATCTTTGAACGCTTGAATGATTGAAGACGCATATCAATGGTTGTCCAGATATCAGCACAGTGATCTAGGGACATCACATACAATAGCAGGGTTGGAGAAGTCACTGAGTATAGGGTAGCTGCTAAATTCTGATAAATGAGAACCCATGTATTATAGTGAGGGAGATGTATTAATTATCAATCAAGAGATCTTGAATTTGAGTCATATATATGATGTGTGTATAAATTTATTTTAATGGACCTAAATGTCAAAAAAAAAAAAAACTTGAAGAATTAAATTTGAGCGTGTGTGGTCCGAACTCGGGAAGTATTATCACATAAAAATCACCCTCTTTATTCAACACATGCTTTGTCAAATGTAAGAGAGATATAACTTTTTAAATATTTTAAATAATTTTTCACTTAAAATTTTGTGTTTATATATTTTAAATAAATAATTTTTTAAATTAATCAGCTCACAAGCTAACAAGACGAGTCTAAATTGACTCAAGCTTAATTTATAACTCATCAAATTTGATTCACAAGTTATTTATAGATTCTGGTCATAGTCGGCTCACTAATGAGTTTTTTTTATTTTACTTCATGTTATTATTTCATCTTCTTCCTCCCAGTCCCAGCTACTAGTGCCACGTCCTCACTCCGCTGTGCCCTAGCGTGCGCCAACGATTCACGAAATCCAGTCACGCAACTTGGAACGTATGGCAAGGCTCCCGCGTGCCCAATTTTGTGGCAGCTCTGATTTGTAGTTGAGGGATCCTATCGTCCCGACGTACTTTTTGACTTCCAGGGCTTGCTAACTCTGAAACGAAACCCTTTTTGTCTCTTTAACCGTTCCCCCCATTTCATTGCGACTCGTCCCCGTTGCTTTGGTCTATAATATATCAGGCTTGCTCGACCCCACCGAAGTTACTTCTGATTCTCTACTTTCCCCGTTCTTTCTCTCCTACTTTACCCACCGATGATAGATAGGCGGGAGAAGACGAGGTTCCGTTGCTTCTCTTGCGGCTACTGAGGAGAGAGAACCTATTGGCGATCTTTTCAGGTTGAACTTTGATTTTTAGTCAATTCTGCGATTTGTGCTCTTAATTTGGGTGTGAGTATCGATTCTTCTCTTTGTTCCGTGCGGATAGCGGTGATGGATTTCTGGTTTTCTTGGATTGGTTTGCTGTGATTCCGATAGGATAGAGGTTTTGTTAATTTGTAGGGCTGGCATGTGTTGGCCTTGCTGTTTTTATCCTTGGTTTGCTTGTTCAATTCCAAGCCGTTGCATTTTCAATCATGTTATATAAGTGCTTAGTCCCTCAGCACGTGGAATGGCTTCTGGCTAATATGAGTTTTGAGCCGATTTTTATATTGAAGAGGAATATTGGTAGAGATCGATTTGCAATCTATTTGTTCTGTACAATGATGGAATTATAATCTCAAGTGTGAGAGGGCGAAAGTTCTTATCCCAAATTTCTATATTATACGTAGTTATATAGGTATTTTCTCATATCTAGAAGAGCTAGAAATACCAATCGCCACTCTGATTTCTTGAAAGGTCTTGTTCAAATAGTGCATTTTTGGATTATTTATTTTAGCAAATGTTTCTTTTCCCAGTGACTTTAATATTTTTTTTGTCTGCGCTGGTGCTATAAGTATCCTCTTGTGATGGGGAAACCATTGCCAAACTTTGTAAACCATCATAACATTACTTTCTTTTTTGAATGGCTGATTAGAAAAAAAAATGGGAAAAAGAGTGGGGTGGGAGATTATTATTTCTTTCAAGTATGGTTTCCTTGGTCTTCATGTGGTGGGATAAAGGCTCGATGTTGTATAGTTTCCTTGGTCTTTTTCTAGTATTATACGAAGAAATGCAAAGTATGCATTTTGCAATTGTTAAATTGTAGCCATTGTGATGTGAATGATACTTTATGATGGGAATAACCTTTCTTAAGGATCCATGTATTAAATCCTTCCCTGGCCTCTCATTGATGTAAGGTTCATGCATTGATACACGTGACCAAGGATTGCAATATGATAGACCAATATGCCTCTTATAAAAGTGTTTATTCTTAAGGACTAAAAGATTTAATTTATTGGAAAAGCTGTCTTCGAATGAATAGCACAAGTTGAAATTAATGAAGTTCTTTTGGAAATGTATGTTCTTTTTTATTTCTGAACCTTGCCAATAATTAAAATAATATGAATTTAATAGATTCTGCTTAGTTTGCTGAATCTCATTTGACAAATTTGTAAATTGAGGAAGGTTTTGTTGGTAAAAAGCTGTTGAATGGAGTAATATTTCGATATTGGAAAAAAATAGGTTATTTTGTTTTTTGTTTTTTTTTTTATTTTGGTAGGGAAAAGGTTTGTGCTGTTAGCAAGCCGTTGAGCGGATTAATGTGTCAATCTTATAAAATAAAATATCTTATTTGGCCGTCTCCTTATCAAAAAATTAGGGCTAGATCGGTTTTTTTAATTGTTAATCTGCTATTCTGTCTCTTCTTGGAGCGACTATGATTCATCCATTGATGAGATTTCAGGTTAAAAAAAAATTTAAGAAATCACTTTTAATGAACTCCGTTTGTTTTGCGCATCCCTTAGCTTCTTAGTCCAGATTGCTTGTTGTGAATTTATTTTTAAACAAAAGGTGATCAGTGAAATCCTTTGCAAGGGATACGCATCTAGGCGTTCTAACATCTTTTAAACAATTTACAACCGTTTAAGGCTGCTGAAATCAAGTTACTTCAGGATATAAGGACAATGACATTTGCGTTATCAAAGAAATGGCTTCAAGGGTATTATGCTGTCGGTTAACTCGATTAAGCATGGTATGAGGGGCCTATTTTTACATGGAAAAATAGTAAGAGTTGCACTTAACCTAATCTATGTTGTAAAATTAACCATTAAGTCTCTATGTTTCTTGAAATCCGTAACCGCTGAAACAATTGGTAGTTTACTCAGTTGATTTAGCCTGGGATATTTGTGAAAATATAAATTTACTGAATGTTTTCATCTAATCATCAAACTTTTCTTATTTCTTCTCATTTCACGAAGCGTGCAGCATATGTTGTTGTTTCTGTGAGATGTCCATCTTGATAAAGCTAATCTCATAGAAACGAAATGGGCGGGTGTTGCAGCTCTTCATCAAGAACTGCATCAGGTGGAATATCTGTTTACTTCAATGTAAGTAGCCTCGTAAAATGTGTGATTATTACCCAAAAATCTCATGTTTTATTCATTCAAATATGTTGTAATTATTTATAATAGAAATTTGAATTACTTATTGTCATATTTCTTCATTTCAAGTATATTAATTGTTGTAAATTTCTTTATTATTCTCTTCTCTTATCTATATAATGGCGTGATGGCACGTATATGATTATATTAAAAAGTCAATTGAGTAAATAAATAGTTTTTTGCTTCTCTCTAATTTCTAATATGGTATGAGAGTTGTGGCCTAGAATTCCCTAGATAATCTCTAAACACCGCCTTGTAGATGTCACGCTCCTTGACATCTGATCTTCATGGGTTTGCTTTCTTAGTTCCCTTCCCTCCCTCTCCATGCAACTTGTCTGCGTTCTATCAGTTACTCCCTGCGTGAGATTCTCGTCCTTGTCATAGACCATTTAAACACTTTCCCTCCATCTCTATAATCTATATCTCTTCTCCAATGGTGATTGCATTGGTGTCTTTTGTCTGTTGATGGCGCTGTCTATCAATTAGCTTTGTTGATGCTCTTCATTGATATCTTTGTTGATACTTTCTATCAAATACTCTTCATCAACGCTCTCAATTGATACATTTATTTAAGGATCTTATCTATCTTGTTTGACACGGATCTTGTTGCCAACTTTTTGCCTTCGATATATATTACTTTCCCTTTTACGGATTGGCCTTGTCCACTTGGAACCTCTACGCAACACAATCTTTAATTACTATGTACTAGCTATTTATAGTAGGAATATGCAGTAGTTATTATTTTAATAGTTTCTTATTATGAAAGGTATTCTAATATATTGCAAGTTTTTTTTATTATTCTATTACCTTGCCTATGTATAGGAAAATACATGATTATTCTAAAAGACAAAGACAATTGATTACTGATGTAGTCTTTTGTAATTTCCACTCATTTATATATATTCCCCGCTGAATGCAACATCTTGGCATATTAGAAATTTTTTTAGATGTCTCCATGTTCAACATGCTCTATTTTGACATATTTCTAAAATATCATATCCCATATTAGAGCATTGCGTTCTATTAGCTTTCCATGATAGTTTTGGTAGAGAAATTAGCAGTTCAATTAGATCTAATAAGTTTTTTTCTTCCAGTATCCACGGGATTTAGAAGCAAATGAACCTCTGTCATCCACTCGTTCTGCAGTTCCACGTCGTATGGTTGATTCAAACGTGGAAGCTTCAATCCGGGATGCCTATCAACGACCTAATGCCGTACGGCCTCTTGTGGATTTTACAAACTCACAAACTAATTCTGGAAGCACTGAAAACTGCGCAAGTAAAAATGAGCATAGGCAGTCAACAGATTCAGTACCAGTGGGAGATGCTATAGGTGGGAACAGGCTTGAAGCTTCAGATAGGTGTGGTGGTTTGATAGGGTCAGATCCCAAGTTTGTATCTGACTTTGTAAACAACTCTCCTAAGATTAAAGAAGAATTTTCACATATAAACAGTTCCACGACTTTTTTTACCGAGGAAGATGTTTGCCCCACTTGTCTTGAAGGTAGCGTTTCTCCCCTCACATCTTCTCGTTTTTGCATATAATGTGCTAAATCACTATCAGTTCAATTATAACTCGTTTTATCATGTCATTAGTTGCATTTCTTTGCAGGAAATGATTGAAGTAATTTATAAAACTCATATCATGTGTTTTGCAGATTATGATGATGAGAACCCTCGTATTATTACAAAATGTAAACATCATTTTCACCTTTCGTGCATTCTTGAGTGGTTTGAGAGGAGCAGTAACTGTGCCGTATGCAACCGGGTATGTGAAAAGAAACCAGTATTTGCATAACTGCTCTTATTTTATCTTTATTTTGTGATTTTTCCTATATGACCCGCATTACTAAGAGATAAGCCAAGTATAACAACACGAATCTTTTGTGCTTGCTGCAAGTTTGGCCTGTTTGAGACGGCTTTTTTATGCTTCTTAAAATAGTTTTTTTAGAGAAAGATATTTTAAGAAGCAGTAAAAAATCCGTCCCAAATGAAACCTTAATCTCTATCCTTCGTATAAATTTAGGTTCTTCGTCTTCCCTTCAAAATTCTTTATAGATCTATGCTCTTATTTCAGTAAGTCCATTTCCAAGAACAATTACCTTGAATCCTTGATCAAACCTTTAGACCTGGAATGTGTGAAATTATGGAGTGCTACTTTTCTTATTGGCGAACAATTCATGCAGCTCATGGAGGTTGAAGATATTGATCTGTTTGACCGAACCTTGTAGATGAGGCCATTTGGATGATTTCATACCTTCCTCTTTACATAAGCATGAAGCCATTTGTTCTTTGGGAATACGTGGGCATGTAAGCAAAAGCATGATCAAGTATAAGCTTCTTACCCTTGTTTAATGGTTTTTCTTTTTTGATGAATAATAAAAAAAAGGTATTGGATGAAGGAAACTTGGTCTCTTTGAACTTCAGGAGAAGAAGCGCTTGTGAGCTTCGAGGGAGGTCTTTACCCTTTTTTTTTTTTTTACACTTTTCAATTTTTTTTTATAATTATTTTGGTTCATCTTCTGTACCATTTTATCAGCGTCAGTCATTCATTTATTTACAGTGGATCTGCAAGATCTTTATATTTGTGTATAAAATTCGTTTGCTGTATTTATGAATATTGTCATTGTAATATTGTATAGTTCATGGCGATAATTTATAATGGTTCATTTTTTTTATTTTGCATATAATTTTTATGATATTTTGCATATATTTGAAATTTGATCCACATAACTATTATATTGGAAATCCCAATCAATGATATGATAATGAGTATGAGTACATTCTACATTAGTGATTAAATCATCATTAAAAATTGATGAAGCTCGTTCATGTAATTAAAGGTTATATAAAGTGGTATATGAAAATATATTATAACTAATTTTATTTTGATAGTTAAATGGTGTTAATTTTAGAGAACATTTCATTAACATAAGAAAATATTATTTATAGACAATTTTTTAAATAATAAAATTAGATATCATTCAACCTTACAACAATAGTTAAATCAAAAGTAATAGATAAAATTAGAATAATTCATATTCCATTCAGATAAATATACTAAATTTTTATACAATATTGTTTCCTGATATAAGTCAAATTCTCACTTAAATCTAATAAAGAAATATCATTTCTAATATTTTATAACCAACTCTTTTTAGGTCTATCTTTACCTTTTTTAACATAAGTCAAATCTAATACCTCAACTATCCTAAGAGGGTTATCAAAAGGCCTCCATTTAATGTGGCCAAACCATCTAAGGCGACTCTCTCTAATCTTATCTTCCACAGGAGCTACTCCAATCTTTTCACGTATATGCTCATTTCGTATCCTATCTTTAAGAGTAAAGCCAATCATCCACCTAAGCATCATCATCTCTGCAACACTTAACTTAGTATTATGCTTCTCTTTTAATGGCCAACATTCCGCATCATAAAACATTGCAGGCCTCATCACCATCTTATAGAATTTTCCCTTAAGTTTGAAGGGGACTTTTCTATCGCACAAAAGCCCGAAGCATTCCTCCACTTCAACCATCCAACTAAATTTTTCTAATGTTAAAAAAATTAATTAGGATTGCTTTGAAACAAGGCTAAAATTAATATGTTTTAAAATATATTTTTTTTTTATTTACAATAAATAAATTTTACTGTGAAGTAAATCCTGTAAAATAGAATTTTACCACTATGATAAAAATATGGTTTTCTTCATATTTAAATTTATTTTTAGTTAATTAAATTTTTTTGTCATTATATTTTTTATTTGAATCAGATTTATATTATTCTATGTGTCGACTCTCGACTGTCATTATTCTTAGAAAAATTTGGAAGTGTTTTTATTTTTCTTAGAAAAAAAATATTAATCCCTCTTATAAAATATTAGTGTTATAAAGTTTAATGCAGATTTTGTTGGGAACGACCGGAGATCTCGCGTTACTTTTGTGATGGTTAAGCTTTATATGGCATTCAAATTTGATTTCAAATTCCCACTGGGAAGTTACCCCAACGGTCAAATCTCCTCACATCACGATAACGTTAAGCAGCTCTACCCACTTATCTCCACTTTCTAAAAATAAGTTACTGCTTCTCTATAAAGCGATCTTGAATCGTCCTCTTCAGTATCAGTTCCCTTCCTCTTCTTTGTCAACCCTCCTTCCTTCCTCTCTTTTCCTCTTTGTTCTTGACACCATGGTCCCTGCAAAGCGGAAGATCGAAAGCATGGAGAAGAACCCTCAAGAAGTTCCTCAAGAAGTTCACTCCGACTACAACAATTGGCTCATAGAATTTGAGAAGGCTGCTTTCCAGTTTTCCATTCACCTCGGCGCGGATGCTCTCCTTATAAAATTGAGAAACGAAGGGTTCTCGCCGGCAAAGACTTCCGACGACTTGACGGCCGTCCGTTACTGCGGCCTTAAACCGGCCCTCCTGCCAGATCCAAACCAGGCGCACCGAAGGGTATCAATTCAAGAACAGTTCGTTCAATTTCATAAGGTGCTTGCGAAGGTGAGGGCGAGAATCCGCTTCCTCGAGTCTCAATCTAAGAAGAATGCCGAGAACTCGTCTGATCAGAGTGGGAATCTCACTTCTTCTGCGCCAACTGTTGTTGGCGATTCCATTGCTAATCAATGTGGATGATTTTTTTTTTTAATGTAGGCTGTATCTGTTAATGTTTTCTGTAGGCAAACCAGTAGTATGTTCCTTAATAAAAATCCGATGAGAATGGCGCCATTAATTGTTTTGAAGAAATCTAGACCTATTCGCGGAAAAACGATAGTAGAAATTAGTCATGTTAAGGGGGTGTTTGGTAATGGATTTAGCTGTAGTTTTAAGTAGAATTTAATGTAAATCTAGTCAAATGTATTCCGCGCGTCTGTAAATCCTGCGAAATCGTAAATCCAGGATTTACTGATTTACAGCATAAATCCCAATAAATATGTATAAATCGTAGTCCCATCCTTTTCCGGATTTAACGAGATTTACAGGATTTGGCCAGAAGAGCGCGAATGGGAGAAAGTTACCTTCAAAGCTAGAGAGCTCCCGTTATTGCATCCGATAAAAATGTCCTAACTTCCCATCTGACAGGAAGGGAAAGTTGTCAAAGGAATGAAGTCTAACAGTCATGAAGGAGCCGAAGAATTGACGCGTGCAATCTATACACCTCCTGCAAAGCAACGAAGGAAACAACAAGGACGAAAATAGAAGATGAAAGGCAAACCCTAAATCTAAAGCCGAATTGCTAACTTAATTAATATAATTTAAAATAATAATAATTGAGTAAACTAATGGTATAATTAGTGCATAAAATAAATGTCTAATTTAACCTAATTGAATTATTAATGATATATTAGTAATTAAAAATAATATAATTAGCTTAATTAATTTAACTTAAAATATATATCATTAAATATATAATTAATGAGTAATTTCATAATTTGAACTTAATAATCTTTATAATTATACAATTTAAATATCTAACTTTCATAAACTCTGAAATGTATTATCAAACATCTTATCATGATTCAACATGATTTAACATTTATCATATCAAACACTTTTCAAGATTTATCAGTTTAGGATTTACTAAATCTTACTTAAGTTAAATTCAATCTGATACCAAACACCCCCTAAGATCTATGTAGGCAGATATGATCGTAATGAAATTCCCTGCTTCGATTGGAAGATGATTAAGGATCTAAGCATCACTGAAATCAAAGGCAGGGTGGCAAAAAGAACAATGGCTGCTTGGGCAGCATCAGTTATTGAAAGAAGCTTGTTCTAATGACCTTTATCATTAATTGTATAACAAAGAATTGAACTGTATCAATGTGCACTTAGAAAAAAATTATAACTAATGATAAAGGTAATCTTCTTCAAGTGACCATGATAAAAGTAAAATTTTCTTCACATTTAAATTTATTATAGTCAATTAAAAATATTAATTTTTGTCCTGCTCAAAAGCAATCTTATTTAAATCAACTTTTAATGTTAAAAAAATAAATGCATTTTTTTATTTATTTTTGTTTAATCTAATATTATCAATAAGGGTTGATTATCTTCCAATCTAAATTAAATGAAAAATTCATATAATTATTACATAATTTATTTTTTCCTAAAATATTTTGATGTTATGGATTCTATAAAAACAGATATATATTGAATACTATTACCCTCCCCAAGAAATTCATATATAAGAGATTAAATTGAGGTTCGATTTTTAAGATTGTCCTGTAAAAATAGAAGAGAGTGCAATATATTTGTTGCTTTGGAACTCTATGATTGACCTTTATTTTTGTTTTCTTTTGTTCTTAGCAATAATGTTTTATAATAGAAAATTTATGGTGATATTTTTTTAAATAAACTCTCAAACAAATCTACACAAAACCTCTAATTTTGTAGATGAATCAATCAAATTTAAAAGAATTTATCCATTTACAACTATATCATTTAGGGGAACCAATATATGATCCAACCCGCCAAGTCGGTCCAAAAAAATTCAATTTGGGTTTACTCTTTTTAATAAACAGGTTGGATTCAAAATTGATTTTTTGACCTGTTTATTAAACGGGTTAGGCTCAAGTTGACCCGCAAACTCATTTTTGACTCAGACAATGTTCCATTTAATATCTTTTTTTTTACCTTAATTTTTTTACTTGTACATATAATCTTATTTTTTTAATCAAATATCCTAAATTTTATAGTTAATAAGTTATAAACAAATTTATTTCAAGTTATAAAAAAAAGATTAATGGGGTCAAGTTCGGGTTTATTAAACGGATTGGGTTCAAGTTGCTAGCGAGTCAGATTGTAATTCATGTTTTTGACCAGTTTATTAAACGGATTGGGTTCATGTTGACTATATTTTGATTGCATCAGTTTAGAGTTGGACCCGAATCAGGCCAATCAACCTATTTTGACACCACTCATATAACTCTTATATTTAATAAAAATTAATATCTTATTTTTTACTATAAAAAGAAATTTACTGATCTATCTAATCAAATAGTTTTGTGAGATAAATTTTTATGTAAAATCTTTTAGGGACCACAACATTTCTAGTGGGGCAAAATTTTAACTCAGTATAGTAAATAAATTTTGGGATTAAGTATGTTTAAAAAAAATTAAGAATATGCATAGTCACCGGTTGAACAAGCGACTAGTAGCTGACTCACCTTGCCATTAGGTTCAAAGGAATTTTTTTTAATATAAGTCACCCATTGCACAAGCGACTTGCATTAATTTTTTTTTTTTTAAATCATCATTTATACTATTGTACAACCGAATTTAGTTGATAGTTATATTATTCTATTTTTTTGTGCATCTATACCAAAGATAAGATTTTATAACTTTTTTAATAAAAATGCATCACTAGTGTGTTGTCAAATCAGATTAACATGCCTGGACAGCAGAATCCGTGTGGTCCAGTATAACGTTAGTGATTGGAGGCCATACTGAAGGAAAGCAACATTGGATAATGACGTCATTGTAAGAATTATCTGTGAAGGTCTTTATTGGATGTTATTAATAAGAAATTTGAACTGATTTGCATAGTTGAACTTCAGCTATTTAAGTGGGTGTTGTAGCATTGGAGGTGAAAATTGAGTGTAGTTTCCTCTAGCACTTTTTTTTTTTTTTTTTTTGTGTAGAAGTTATATG